TCCACCGTTCCCAAGCAGTATCAGCAGATCGTATTTCTAAATTCTTGTTAACGCTGTGAGAACACTTGTTTTACTATTTCAAACATTGTATTTTTTCCATCAGTTCATGATTAGATTCACAGTACACATCCAATGTGCGCTGTGATTAGATTTCGAGTTGTTTAAATCGTAAAAATTGTAATTTTAACTTTCAGTTTTTGTAGTAAATAAAAATTTTTAAAAACTATTTTTGAAGTAACGGAGTTATTTCTCACGCAGTCAGTAGGATATCCGGGAATTCACGTATCGAACGCGGATTTTTCGTCGAAACGATTGAATGGATATCGAACCGAATACGTGTTGTATCGTTGTTAAGTGTTGTTCCTGGGCGGCTCCACAAAAATCGGGATCCCTATCTTGAGTACCAGAGCAATTCAATCAGTGACACATCGGGGATTGGAACAAAATCGTCCAATTTCGCAAGGAGAACCAACCATCTACAGAGAAGACTACATCGCGGACCTGTAGTGGCCATAATCCTTACAGTTAAGAGAGATATGTCAAGATATTAATGCTAATGTGAGTACAATTTAATTTTATGGCAAATTCCTATGAGAATAGTAACAATTGGTCAATTAGAAATCAAGTAGAGCTTTTAACTGACTCAGACGAAGAACCAAGTAAAGTAATCTCAATTATTAGTGCTTTAAACGAAATCGAAATCATGGCTCAATTCAAATCTGATTATTTAAACTGCATCCCCGAATTCGACGGAAGTCCCAACGACTTAGCAACTTTCAAAAAGTTTATTTATGTTTATTTAACGCGCACTTTTGCAGATCAAAGGGACGAAGCATGTCTAAACAGAGATTTGGTTATGCTTAGTCAGGGTAATGAAAGTCCCCAAGAATTTTATGATAAAGTACTGAATATTTTGAACCTATTGTGCAGTTACGTAGATTTACACGAACCAAATGCTAATGATAGGCAATCAAAAAGAATTATATACAATAGTTTAGCCCTAAAAACGTTCCTATCCGGTCTAAGAGAACCATTGAGTACCATCATTCGCTGCATGCAACCCCAAGATTTAAGTCAAGCCCTTCAAAAAGTTTTAGAAGAAGGAAATAAACGATATTTTCAAAACTTCAATCGACAACCCAACAGATTTTTGAATCCAAGACGAATAGAAATAACAACTTCAACCAAAACCAAAACAGAAACACTCCTATCAATTTCTATCCTAGACAAAACTTACAAAACTTTCAAAACCAATCCCAAAGATTCCAACATTTCCAAATAACTTTCAAAATCAACCCCCAAGATTTCAAAATTTCCCCAACAACTTCCAAAATCAAATAGCTCCTCAGTCGAGACAAAACACTAACGTTTTTCGACCGAACCCACAACAACAGTTAGACAAACCCACACCGATGAGTATTTCCACAAGAAATACATTTGCCCCTACACAATCCGAATATTGCCAGGGAATCGCATTTCCTACGTAAAATCAACTTAAATGCATAACATAGCTTTCGAATGAGGTGTCACACAGTGAATTACATAACAATTATTCTTCCGCCAATAGGACGCTAAAGTCACAATTTGACACAATAACATTGGTATTGCTGAATTCTTAATAAAACTACCTTTTTAAAAATTTTGACCACTTGGTACTTTCCCCATTTTAATTTTGACAGTATTGCTCTACAGGCTATTTCATTGCTATTTCATATCATTAAATTCAAATAAAATGAATTTATTAATTTTTTTTTAAATATTGAATTAAATTATAGGATTTACGTTATCAGTTTAATATTAATAATATAACTAATTATGAACACGTATATTCAATACCGTGCCGCTAATATTTGACATTACTCCTGCACCATTTTTCATAACATTGACGGATGAATCACTTTATATCGATTTGAAACTGGACTGTAGACAAAAGTATCTTAAAATTTTACGTAGATTTGTAAAATATATAGGGTGTTCCATTTGAAATAGCAAAGTTGATGCCTACTTCCGGTATATCCGGTCAACATATTTTTAAGAGGTTCGTCTTATTGCACAACATATGTTAAAGAATTAAATGCCGATACTTCAGGATGTGAATATTTGGATGATTTTAAGAAGAAAAGTTTATATCAATGTACAGGGTGGCACATTAGTATGGAAAAGCGAAAAGCGAAAGAGAATTTTTTGCTTGCCAAAAGGATTGCCATGAGAGACACCCTGAAAGAAGACAACCTAACAAAAAGCCTTTGAAAAGCGACTAGATTGTTTCAACCATACAGGTTCCGCGATATACGAAAAACCAGAATTTGAAAAAAAACTATTTTTGAAATATCTCAAAAAGTATTAAATTTAGGTATAGGGAAGGTTTATTAGGTATAGACAATTTCTACCAGATTGAGTTTAATTGACATTTCTTACTTCTGTCCTTAATGTGTACTATAATTGTTAAAAAAAGAAAGCTTAATGCTTTTTTCTTTAATTTTAAGTTCTAATTTTTTTAATTGAAATATCTCAAAAAGTATTAACTTTAGGTATAGGGAATGGTTAATAAGAATGAACGTATTTCAAAAATACTTCCTGGTAACGATATGAAATGTAGGGTGATCCCCATTTAAAATAACGGAGAAAAAGTTACTTCTGCGTTTGGATCCACCTTGTAAGCAGTATGATTAAAATTAAAGAAAAATATTCATTTTGTACATTTTCAGGATATTTGCAATGTTTTAAAACCTGAAATTTATTTTTAAGTCAATCCATTTAGTTTCTACAGAACGATTTTCATGGAAAAGTGGTGATAACTTTTAAACCACTTTTCACCACAACCTTTAAACATTATACAATATTATATTTTTGGAAAGCTGAAAACAAGCTAAATTCGATTTTTAAATAAAAAACAGGGTGTTCTATTTAAAAAAGTATATGTTTGATCTACTATGGAAAAACGGGACATTCTGTATAATTGTAACTAATTTTAAAATGTGCAGTTTAAAAAGATCTACAACTTTTGTAATGAAGTTTTTTTGATATCTTCTATAATAACCTATTGTGTTAATAACCACTGTGTTATTTATAAGATGCGACATAGGGATTCCTGTACAAATGTGTCAAAAGCAAGCTAACTTTTTTACCAAATAACGTTCATAAAAAATAATAACAGATTTGAAAAGATCGTAAAAAAATAAGTCGAAATGGACATTAAATTTTCTTAAATTCATTCTGGTTTATTAAAAAAATGTATAATTAAGTTGAAAAAGTCATACGACATAAATAATTCCTTTTTATAACACTATCTAATTAATGTAAAAAGGGGCGGAGCTAACAGGGTTGGTTGACGCTCTGAAATTTGAACATTTCGAGGTGAAGGATTGTGGTTCAAACCGCGAGTGCGGAAATTTTTTTCTGTTTTTTTTGGTATTTTTGTTTTTTTTAATGTTTTTTTGTCATTAATAAAAATATGGCATTAATTTAAAGGCTCTACTTACTAACGAGATTTTGCATTATCAAAATTGACAATTAATTGTCGGAGCTTTTATTTAAATAAAAATAAAATTAAATCTCAAATAAGCTTGTCTTATTTTAAATACTTTTATTTAACATTTTTTTAGACAAAAACATTAAAAAAACGAAAAAAAAACAAAAAAAAACTTTGCCCCAAGCGCGGTTTGAACCACATTACTTAAAAATTAATTATTCAAATTGCAGAGCGTTAACCATCTCTGTTAGCTCCACCCCTTTTGCAAAAAATTAGATAGTGTTATAAAAAGGAATTATTTATGACGGATGACTTTTTCAACTTAATTATACAATTTTTTAATAAACCAGAACGAATTTAAGAAAATGTAATGTCCATTTCGACTTATTTTTTTACGATCTTTTCAAATCTGTTATTATTTTTTATGAACGTTATTTGGTAAAAAAGTTAGCTTGCTTTTGACACATTTGTACAGGAATCCCTATGTCGCATCTTATAAATAACACAGTGTATATTGAACTTTTCCATACTAATGTGCCACCCTGTATGCCCTAAACCTCTTAGTTTTCGAGCTACAGGGTTTTAAAATTAAAAAAAAATAACTTTTCTATCATAATTATCTTATTACGGTAGATGTTTTCATGAAATTTCGGACGTGGACGTCACTGATATTAGTAGAAAATTAATTTTTATCCCTAAAAAAAAAAGAGTTTCCATGCATGGTGGTCGCCTATCAAATTTCAACAAAATATCAAAAGCAGTCTCAAAATGAACTTGGGAAAAAATGGTTTTGGTTTTTATTTTTTTACGCGAAACTGGTGCGTCGTACGAAAATAAGTCTTCTGACCAAATTTGCTCCAAAATAAATGAGGATTTAAAAAATAATTTTTGTTTAAAAAAAAGCAGTGGTGTACCATTTTTTTTTCAAACATATTTAGTTAAAATCCCGTACGGACGTCACTGGTGAAAATTTTTAAAAATCAGTAACAAGTAACAATTATGACAGAAAAGTTATTTTTTTTCTAAAATTTTAACACCCTGTAGCTCGAAAACTAAGAGGTTTAGGACATACTTTGATATAAACTTTTTTTCTTAAAATCAACCAAATATTCATATCCTGAAGTATTGGCATTCAATTAATTAACACCCTATACATACTAAATATGTGTTTATAAAGGAACTAGGGTAATTAAATAAACGATAGATGTGTGCCTGGTCTTTCACTATTTATTTATGTACCTTCACTTTCGAAGAGCACTCTCGGAATACTAAATTCATTAAAATTTTTCTAGTTACTCTCGATAGTACAAAAATCGCTATATCGATTATAGCAACTCGCAACGTCCGAGCTCTCGGAGACTAATCATTTACTCTCAGATAGTTACACTCACAACATTGTCCATTGGTGAAAACCACTCTCAAGAGAGTTTTTCTCTAATTGGACACCTAGCATAATGCCCTAATTCTAATTTCACTTACCTTTATTCGCGTTGACATATGACATTAATGTTGTAATTGTCATTTAATTATGCTGCTGTCGAAACGTTTAATAATTCGTTCGATTCCTCTAATGTGTAGAGGGGCACAAAGGTGGTATCCGGACGCAGAATATTTCTCGGCTTTCAAGGGTCCCGTCATGTATCCTCACGGCGAAATAAAATCCTGGAAGCAGGCGCCCTGGAGCGGCAAAAAAGCGCCCGTAGAGAAGAAAGTGAAGAACAGGTACTTGAATTTCGGACCGGCCCATCCGGCGGCACACGGTTGCCTCCGGTTGATCCTACAATTGGACGGGGAGGTGAGAATTCTATACACTATTTTAAGAAGTTCCATATGTTAATTAGCCCATATTGGCCTATTCTCTGCAAGGAAACGTTTCGGGCAAATAAAGTAAATTAGGTACAGATATAAGTGATTTTGTCAAACTAGTCGAAACGAGTCTAAATGGTTCTAAACAATTCTATATGATTCGAAACAGTTCTAAATGTTACTGGAGGGTTCTAGATTGATCTAGACAGTTCTAAAGGATTCTAGAGAGTTCTAAACATAAATGCAACCTGTCAGCCGTAACAAACTGGGAAAACACAGCCAAAATACACAAAAATTAGCTAAAAAATTAAAAACAATAGCTGGCTTTAAACGAACGTTCTTTCGTGCGTTCGTAGGATGGTAAGTAAGTCTTCGGACCGAATTTGCTCCAAAATAAACGAGAATTTTAAAAATAATTTTGTTTAAAAAAGCAGTGGCGTACCATTTTTTCTTCAAACATATTCAGTTCGAACCCCGTACGGACGTCACTGGTAAACATTTAAAAAAATCTTATGCCTCAAACAAAAATGCTCCTTAATCATTAAAAAGTGTATACAAAATTTCTCTCCTTATTCTCTTGTCATATCTTCACAAATGATCGAGACGAAAGAACGTGTCGTGTAAAGAGTTTCAAGCGACGGGATAAGAAAGTCTTGAGCGCACTCGAAACACGTCAAAGCCAGCTATTGTCATGTTTTTATGTTAATATTTGAGAATTCAGCCACCATTCGTGACATTTTTTTAAAAAATCGACATGCAGGGTGCTTTTTAGTGTTGATAATGTTTTAATAATTGTTGTCAATCCGGGACCTGGATTTTATATTTTTTTAAGGATCCGAGAAATTGTCCTAAAGGTATACAGTGTGTGTCACGACGATGGCCCATTAGAAGTATCTGGAAAAGTAGTTGTAATTAAAGTTTGAAAATTTGTGTACAAGTATTAGTCGATGCGCTCTATTCAATGAAAATATATTCCTTACCTTAACTTGATTACTTTAACTTTTCCTTACTTCCGGTTATACCGGAAGTGGACAGCAACTTTGTTATTTTAAATGGGACACCCTATATATAATTATACACTAGCGTGCAACTAAATCGACTCAACTGACTAGTGCGCACTAAAAGTCGTATTTTGTTTAAATGGTTAAACCGATTTTCATGAACCCGATTTTTTGAAAGCACCATTAGTTACCTTTACAATGAGACTTTGAACATAAAAATCGGTTGAGTAATTTTTCTGATACTGCAGCCCGTATAAAAATGTAACAAAAATGCCTGCTTAGAAAAGACAAATTAAGGTTGCTTACAAACTAAAACGGTAAATAAATCTAACAAGAATTCATTTATCAATACTTGGTATTGCCTCACCTTGCCGGTATGACGGCTTACAGGCGCCTCCTCATCGACACAATTGAGTTGGAAACAAAATATTGAGGTATCCCTTTCCACTACTTCTCCAACTCAATTCTGAGCTGGTTGAGCTGGTTTCTCGTTAACGGTTCATTTTATCGACAACTGAGAAGAGTACCTTTTTTTAGGTTTATGGTTTAAGATTTCCTGATTTATGTTTTTTAAGTCTTTATCATACAGGGTGTTGAAAATTTAGGCATTAAGGTGTAAACCTTAGCCAGTCCCTGGTAAACTAAATAAGCTAAATATGTTTCAGGGACACTAGTTTTTGAGGCCCTCAGTAGTGTCTATCATATTAAATTTTTGTTCAATTATATCAAGTACTTTAGAAGATATTTAAGGAAAACCTATTTCCAGCTGCGCACTTTAGGGACGCATATCTTCGTAGGGATGGCCTGTAGGGAAAATTTTTATAGGAACTTCTCATCTTATTTTTTCATGTTCTAAATAATGGATCCGAGAGATTTCCCACAATTTCAGGGACACCCTGTAGGGTTAAAATATTGCTCTCTCCCTATACGCCCTGTATACGAAACTGATAACATTTGATTTATTTTGTAGATAGTGAAAAGGTTGGATCCTCATATCGGCTTGCTACACAGAGGCACTGAGAAATTGATCGAGTACAAAACCTACATGCAAGCCATGCCGTATTTTGATCGCCTGGATTATTTATCGCCAATGAGCAGCGAGCATGCATTTGTCATGGCCACCGAGAAGCTCATGAACTTGAAAGTGCCGAGAAGAGGTAAGTTCAACTGACCAATATTGGGTTGAAATAGTATACAAGAGTAGATTAGAAATTTATTGAGATTCAAAAATAACAAAAATTGATAAGTATGTTTTTAGCTCAAATATGCTATAAAATATTAAATAATCAGTCAAGCAAAATGAGTATTGTTTTAAAATGATTAAATAATACGTTGTGCCGAATTAGAACCTTTGTAGGGATAGCGGTTGTAAATTGTAGACTTTTTTGAGCGATATGGTGGGATTACAACTTTCTTCCTATTACAATAATCTTTGTTCAACTCACAAAATTTACCATTGCGTTAAAATCTGCACGATGCGATATCATATAGTATGACAATATAAAAACTTACTTTAAAAACTTATTTAAAAACTTTAATGAAACATGATATCAAAAAATGCTATCCAATAGTATAAATAATAATTGTACAGGGTGAACCAATAAAAGTCTTCACAACAAAATTGAAATGTTCCATCCATGTAAAAAGCGTACGACGTACTAAAATTTAATTGTCCGTTTTTAACTAATTCAATAGTTTCAGCTCTACTAGAGGGCAACGTTGGTAAAAGTTTTCTTCTGGCATTATACATGTTCTTTCTAATGCAACCCAGATCCTCTACAGTAAGGTTGTCAATGTCGTTATATATTATAAAAAGTTATGGGACTTTAACGCAACCCTGGGTCACCCTGTATGTATATTATTTAACTGAGCATGTTGATTTTTAACCAAACATTTATTAAATTCCAGTGCATTTTTTATTTTTGCCAAAAATTTATTTTCTTATTATGCATTTGGATTAATTACTCGGAAAATGAACATAGCATTTTGAATTATCTGCTAGTCGTTGCTTAGGGTTGTCAAGTTTTCCTTTAAAAACGCTGCATACTAGTAATTTACCCATTTTATTTTTAATCGTACAGCTAAATTCATCCGGACGATGTTCTCCGAGATAATGCGCCTGATGAACCACCTAGCGGCGACTGCGTTCATCTGCCTCGACGTCGGCGCCATCACGCCGCTCTTCTGGTTCTTCGAGGAGCGCGAGAAGCTCTACGAGATATGCGAGAGAGTATGCGGCTCGAGAATGCACGCCGCCTACTTCAGAATCGGCGGAGTGCACCAGGTTATACATATATACCGAGTGTGATATTAGCAAGTTAAAGTTTATCCGTTCTAAAAAGACAATGACGTCATTTTTAGTTATTTTCAGGCAGTTCAACATTTTTCTAGTGCTAATGTAAGTCAAGGCGTGCACTGAAGTAGTGTGGTATACCTTATACCATCTCGTTAGGCAATGACGTCACGAGCCAGTCTCCTGCGACGTTGCCGGGTTGTAATTGAAATCCTTTATATGACAGCGGTGATGTTAAAATTACTTTATAATATGTAATTAATTACAATTACAATTACAATTACTTTTGGCCAATTGTAATTAATTGCAATTACAATTACAAAATTTGCGAATGTAATTACAATTACAATTAAAGTTACAATTACAATCACAATTACTTTGCTTTGGTGTCAGTTTTAAATAATTATTTAGGGATTTGCAATCGGAATTAAACTTTCCACGTATTGAAAATATTAAATAAGTACTTTTGTGTCCAATGTAATTGAAATGTAATTGTAAAATGTGATTGTAATTGTAATGAAAGGAGTAATTGAATTACAAATGAATTACAATTGATGATCTTGTAATTAATTACAATAAAAGTAATTCAATTACTTTTTCAATTACTTGTAGTAAATTACTTAACAACACTGTATGACAGGTATATTTTATTTAAGGTTATGTTTACTTTTAAACATAGTAGGCTGGCCAGTACCACAGTGTCACAGGCCAGTAGGCTGGCTTGTGACGTCATTGTTTTTTAAAAACGGATAAACTTTACTAATTACTAATGGTAGGTGTCCATTTGAGAGAAAAACTCTCGAGAGCGCCAATCGAGAGTAGTTCTCGCCACTGGAGAATGTTGTGAGAATGGGTGCGTTTAGGGAAAGTAACCGTTGAGAAGTAGCAGTCAGTATGTTGAGTCCGATACCTGTCAACAGTTGAGTATCCTCTGAACGGTACTTTAGTGTTGTTTACGTTGCACATAGAAGCGAATAAAATTGACGCTGACTCGAACTGCGACTGTTGCCAGTCAGCACGAGCTTAGCGTTGTGGTTCAGGGAACCGCTGCAGGCAAAACTTGCCAACAGTTGCGTTTCCTGAACGCACCCAATAACTATTTGAGAGTTTGTAATTACTCTCCGCGAGCTAGCATGTCGCTAGTTGCTGTCAAGTCGACACATCGTTTTGGTACTATCGGGAGTTACTAGAAAAATTCAAATGAAATCAGTATTCTGAAAGTGCTCTCCATAGTAAAGGTACATAAATACATAGTGAGAGACCAGCCACATATCTATCGTTTATTTAATTACCGTAGTTCCTTTACTACTCTTGAAGAAATATTCAAATATGAATTTGTTAAAAATTACAAGGTTGATATTGGGCCAGAATGGCTTAACTCTTTTTCGTGAAAAGTTGTATAGAATATCTTTGTTTGGTGACAAATTCCGTATTGCGTATTTTTTTATTGTCAATCCCTCTCAGATATATGGGTGGTCCAACCTCCTTAAGGCCCCAATTTCTCCGCCCATATTATATTTACCTAATTTATGAATCGAAACTGGAGTTATCGGCTTCCTACATACACTGTGTTATTTATAAGATGCGACATAGGGATTCCTGTACAAATGTGTCAAAAGCAAGCTAATTTTTTACCAAATAACGTTCATAAAAAATAATAACAGATTTGAAAAGATCGTAAAAAAATAAGTCGAAATGGACATTAAATTTTCTTAAATTCATTCTGGTTTATTAAAAAAATGTATAATTAAGTTGAAAAGTCATACGACATAAATAATTCCTTTTTATAACACTATCTAATTAATTTAAAAAGGGGCGGAGCTAACAGGGTTGGTTGACGCTCTGAAATTTGAACATTTCGAGGTGAAGGATTGTGGTTCAAACCGCGAGTGCGGAAATTTTTTTCTGTTTTTTTTTGGTATTTTTGTTTTTTTTAATGTTTTTTTGTCATTAATAAAAATATGGCATTAATTTAAAGGCTCTACCTACTAACGAGATGTCAACTGCGTTATCAAAATTGAATTAATTGTGGGACTTTTATTTAAATAAAAATAAAATTAAATCTCAAATAAGCTTGTCTTATTTTAAATACTTTTATTTAACATTTTTTTAGGCAAAAACATTAAAAAAAACAAAAAAAAACTTTGGCCCAAGCGCGGTTTGAACCACATTACTTAAAAACTAATTATTCAAATTGCAGAGCGTTAACCATCTCTGTTAGCTCCGCCCCTTTTACAACAAATTAGATAGTGTTATAAAAAGGAATTATTTATGGCGTATGACTTTTTCAACTTAATTATACATTTTTTTAATAAACCAGAACGAATTTATAAAAATTTAATGTCCATTTCGACCTATTTTTTTATGATCTTTTCAAATCTGTTATTATTTTTTATGAACGTTATTTGTTAAAAAATTAGCTTGCTTTTGACACATTTGTACAGGAATCCCTATGTCGCATTTGACAGGGGATATAGACTGATTGGCGAGAGAAATTAAAAAAAAGTTTCTGGGGCATTGGGAGGTAGATGGGGAAACGTAAAAAAAATCGCCGATTACGAAAATCTACCTCTTTTCTCCAGCTAAATTCGTTTTTTTTTCGTAATTCGATTTTGAAAGTAAATAAAAGTGAAATTTTTGACACATTTCCAAATAAATTACTTGATGGACGTTGCCCGTTCGTTTGGTTTAAATGGAACTACACCGAAATAAGAGACTTTTTTGTTATTTAGACAACTTCGTCGTTTTTAATGGACGAGCATAAAAGAAAATGCAATAATACGCAAAAATGTACGTTTCTTGGTCATTTGTACTTACCAAAAACGGAGAAACGATCGAATTACTTTTAAAAAAACTACACTAATGACAGCGGCGATGAACAAATTTCAAACTGTCAAAGTTGTCATTTCCGTTACTACGGGATACATTGACATTTTAATTTGATGTACAGGGTGTTTTTTCATTAAGGAAATCGGAAAAATTGATATACGGGGCGTTTTTTTACCTTAAATGAAAAATTATTTTCAATTGAATTGAAATATAGTACAGGGTGACTCGTATTTAAGGAAATGTTAATTATACATAAACCGAGCGAGCGAAGCGAGCGAGGATCCGGCTATATAACTGCCTTTGCGTAGAACGCCGATAGGCGTTCGAGCTGCGGGTCTATGCGGCAGAGCCCATCGTTAACTAGAGCGATTTAGTGGAGCTCGCGCAGCGAGCGAGACCTTAGTTATTTAACGGCCTTTGCGTAGGAGGCCGTTAGGCCTCCGAGCTGCGGGTCCATGCGGCAGAGCCCATCGTTAACTAGAGCGATTCAGTCGAGTTCGCGCAGCGAGCGAGACCTTAGTTATTTAACAGCCTTTGCGTAGGAGGCCGTTAGGCCTCCGAGCTGCGGGTCTATGCGGCAGAGCCAATCGTTAGGTACAACAATTTAGTCGAGCTCGCGCAGCGAGCGAGACCTTGCTTATTTAAAAAATTGATACACGAGGTGTGATTAATTTCCAAACGAAAATTCAATCGCACCGAGCTCGCGAAGCGAACGAGGATCCGGCTAGCAAACAGTCTTGCGGCGAAGCCGCCACCATAAGAAAGGGGGGTTGAAAGGGGGCACAGCCCCCTTTCCGAGCGTTTAGCGAGTATTTTTCATAATTTTAGACTCTTTGTAATTTTCTATAAAACCCACATTTTTGGAGACAAATCAAAATTTTTGGCATTTATACGATTTTTAAATCACCGGTTTAAGTTTAAAGTTTAGCCCGTTATTAATAATAAAATAAATTTCATAGCACCTTTTTCAGATAAAGTTGTTTCAACAAAAATCTCCTTATTAGTCAATATACTGGTAGAAAAAGTTAAAGTAAAAAATATATTTTTAGTAAAAACTGTTAAATATTGCATTCATTACGATTAGTAAATACATTTTTAATACAAGTAACTTAATCTGTTAATAAGGTGCTATGTTAAAAACGCGCTAAAAATGTTCCAAACTGTAGTTCACAAAATTCTTAGTACAAACCTAGTGGACACGGTTCTGAGAGTTCTAATTTTATAAAACTCACAACTAGCATTTTGGATACTCTCAGAGAGTAAAATCAGGCAGGTAGCGTTACGTGCAATACACAGATTACATGCAACTCGCATTTTTTTTATATATTGCGCATATTTTCAGTATTTTTTGCATATTTTGAATATTTAAGGAATACTTGACATATTTTGAGTAACGTTAATTACTCAGCAATTTATGAAAATTTAACTAAATGAAAATCTTAAAATATCTGTTTGTCTGTGGCAAATGTTGAAATCTGTTGAAATTTTCATGAACAAATGATTAAAAGGGGGTATCATTTAACAAAAATTTCGTAAAAATAGCGAAAAGTAATATCGTAAAATTTGAAATTTTCATGAAAATATAAGAGAAAAAAATTCAGAAAAAAATGTTTATTTGACAAATAAAAATAGCTTGTTGCTTAAATTAAATATTCGAAATAATTATTTAACCAAAACCCTATTGGCCAACTTTAACCAAGCACGTTTGATATCAAAGTTTGAACGGTTTACCTCTTTGGTAACTAGCTATTAGTATTTGAAAGTATAACATCCTCTCAAAACGCAAAAAATAGTTAAAAAACCAAAACATTTTTTTTCAACATCTTTGCCAGTCTTTTTGAAGTATTGGGACTACCAGCTATTAAAATAAAGTATATTGGTATTAGTTAGCCGTTAGATATTTATGGAAAGGTGCATGTAAGAAGCTGAAGAAGTAAATGTATAAATGTAGAAATGTGTAAATGTAGAAGTAAATGTACGAAATCCAGTTGAAATTCAAATATTAGTAACAAGATACTTAGCAAAAGCATAGAAAAACACAGTAAAAAGGCAGAATAGACGCAGTGAACGCTCGATTTCACGCACTAGACGTTTGTTGCCTTTTAAATTATGTTTAAAAGTAACTTATGTCCGATTGCACCGACTTATTTTTAAGGGACCAT